CAACCCCTAACCCCAACCCCAACCCCAAACCCCAAACCCCAAACCCCAAACCCCAACCCCAACTCTAACCCCAACCCAACCCCAACCCCTAACCCCAACCCCAAACCCAAACCCAAACCCCAAACCCCAACCCCAACCCCAACCCAAACCCAAACCCCTAACCCCAACCCCAACCCAAACCCCAACCCAACCCTAATCCTAAACCCTAATCCTAACCCAACCCAGGGTTAGACGGGTCAGGGTTTGGTGGGTCAGGGTTTGGTCGGTCAGGGTTTGGTGGGTCAGAGTTTGGTGGGGTCAGGGTTTGGTGGGTCAGGGTTTGGTGGGTCAGAGTTTGGTGGTCAGGTTTTGGTGGGTCAGAGTTTTGGTGGGTCAGAGTTTGGTGGTCAGAGTTTGGTGGGTCAGAGTTTGGTGGGTCAGGGTTTGGTGGGTCAGAGTTTGGTCGGTCAGGGTTTGGTGGGTCAGGGTTTGGTCGGTCAGGGTTTGGTGGTCAGGTTTGGTGGGTCAGGTTTGGTGGGTCAGGTTTGGTCGGTCAGGGTTTGGTCGGTCAGGTTTGGTCGGTTTGGTCGGTCAGGGTTAGACGGGTCAGGGTTTGGTCGGTCAGGGTTTGGTCGGTCAGGGTTAGACGGGTCAGGGTTTGGTCAGGGTTTGGTCGGTCAGGGTTGGTAGGGTTGGTCGGTCAGGGTTTGGTGGGTCAGGGTTTGGTCGGTCAGGTTGTGGGTCAGGTTTGGTCGGTCAGGGTTTGGTCGGTCAGGGTTAGACGGGTCAGGGTTTGGTCGGTCAGGGTTTGGTCGGTCAGGGTTGGTCGGGTCAGGTTTGGTGGGTCAGGGTTTGGTGGGTCAGGTTTGGTGGGTCAGGTTTGGTGGGTCAAGGTTTGGTGGGTCAGGGTTTGGTGGGTCAGAGTTTGGTGGGTCAGGGTTTTGGTGGGTCAGGGTTTGGTGGGTCAGAGTTTGGTGGGTCAGGGTTTGGTGGGTCAGAGTTTGGTGGGTCAGGGTTTGGTCAGGGTTTGGTGGGTCAGGGTTTGGTCAGGTTTGGTGGTCAGGGTTTGGTCAGTTTGGTGGTCAGGTTTGGTGGGTCAGGTTTGGTTCAGGTTTGGTGGGTCAGGTTGGTGGTCAGGGTTTGGTGGGTCAGGGTTTGGTCAGGGGTCAGGGTTGGTGGGTCAACCCCAAACCCCAAACCCCAAACCCAAACCCTAACCCCAAACCCCAAACCCCAAACCCTAACCCCAAACCCCAAACCCTAACCCCAAACCCAAACCCAAACCCCAAACCCCAAACCCAAACCCCAACCCTAACCCCAACCCCAAACCCAAACCCCAAACCCTAACCCCAAACCCCCAAACCCAAAACCCCCCCAAACCCCAAACCCAAACCCCAAACCCAAACCCTAACCCTAACCCAACCCCAACCCCAAACCCCAAACCCAAACCCTAACCCCAAACCCCAAACTCTAACCCCAACCCCAACCCCTAACCCCCAACCCCAACCCCAAAACCCCAACCCAACCCAAACCCCAAACCCCAACCCCAACCCCAAACCCAAACCCCAACCCCCAAACCCCTAACCCCAACCCCAACCCCAACCCCAAACCCTAACCCCAAACCCCAACCCCAAACCCTAATCCTAAACCCCAACCCCAAAACTCTAACCCCAAACCCCAACCCCTAACCCCAACCCCAACCCCAAACTCTAACCCCAACCCCAAACCCCAACCCCTAACCCCAACCCCAAACCCCAAACCCAAACCCCAAACCCCAACCCCAACCCCAAACCCCAACCCCTAACCCCAACCCCAACCCCAAACCCCAACCCCAAACCCTAATCCTAAACCCTAATCCTAACCCAACCCCAGGGTTAGACGGGTCAGGGTTTGGTGGGTCAGGGTTTGGTCGGTCAGGGTTTGGTGGGTCAGAGTTTGGTGGGTCAGGGTTTGGTGGGTCAGGGTTTGGTGGGTCAGAGTTTGGTCGGTCAGGGTTTGGTGGGTCAGAGTTTGGTGGGTCAGAGTTTGGTGGGTCAGAGTTTGGTGGGTCAGAGTTTGGTTCAGGGTTTGGGTCAGGTTTGGTCGGTCAGGGTTTGGTGGGTCAGGTTTGGTCGGTCAGGGTTTGGTCGGTCAGGGTTTGGTGGGTCAGGTTTGGTGGTCAGGTTTTGGTCGGTCAGGGTTTGGTCGGGTCAGGGTTTGGTCAGGTCGGGTCAGGGTTTGGTCGGGTCAGGGTTTGGTCGGTCAGGGTTAGACGGGTCAGGGTTTGGTCGGTCAGGGTTTGGTCGGGTCAGGGTTTGGTTGGTCAGGGTTTGGTGGGTCAGGGTTTGGTCGGGGTTTGGTCGGTCAGGGTTTGGTCGGTCAGGTTAGACGGGTCAGGGTTTGGGGTCAGGGTTTGGTCGGTCAGGGTTAGACGGTCAGGTTTGGTCGGTCAGGTTTGGTCGGTCAGGGTTTGGTGGGTCAAGGTTTGGTGGGTCAGGGTTTGGTGGGTCAGAGTTTGGTGGGTCAGGGTTTGGTGGGTCAGGGTTTGGTGGGTCAGGGTTTGGTGGGTCAGGGTTTGGTGGGTCAGGGTTTGGTCGGTCAGGGTTTGGTGGGTCAGAGTTTGGTGGGTCAGGGTTTGGTGGGTCAGGGTTTGGTGGGTCAGGGTTTGGTGGGTCAGGGTTTGGTTGGGTCAGGGTGGTCAGGGTTTGGTGGGTCAGGGTTTGGTCGGTCAGGGTTTGGTGGGTCAGAGTTTGGTGGGTCAGGGTTTGGTGGGTCAGGGTTTGGTCGGTCAGGGTTTGGTGGGTCAGAGTTTGGTGGGTCAGGGTTTGGTGGGTCAGGGTTTGGTGGGTCAGGGTTTGGTCGGTCAGGGTTTGGTGGGTCAGGGTTTGGTCGGTCAGGGTTTGGTCGGTCAGGGTTTGGTCGGTCAGGGTTTGGTCGGTCAGGGTTTGGCGGGTGAGTTTTTGGGGGCAGCCCAGATGGTAGAACAGGGTTTTAAATGTGAGAACATAAGGGACTGTCCCACCTCTGTCATGTGTCCACAATAAAAGGTGATACCACAGACAGACCATGAGACCTGTAAAACAGGCACAGCACCAGTTGTGTTGTGGCCCCTGTCTGTCCCTGTCTGTCCCTGTCTGTTCCTGTCTGTTCCTGTCTGTTCCTGTCTGCCCCTGTCTGTCCCCTGTCTGTCCCTGTCTGCCCCTGTCTGTTCCTGTCTGCCCCTGTCTGTCCCTGTCTGTCCCTGTCTGCCCCTGTCTGTTCCTGTCTGTTCCTGTCTGCCCCTGTCTGCCCCTGTCTGGCCCTGTCTAACCACCTCTGCACCTGTCTGCCCCTGTCTGCCTGTCCCCATCCCTCGCGTGTCCCTCATGTGTCCCTCGTGTGTCCCTCATGTGTCCCTCGCGTGTCCCTCGTGTGTCCCTCACGTGTCCCTCACGTGTCCCTCGTGTGTCCCTCACGTGTCCCTCGTGTGTCCCTCGTGTGTCCCTCGTGTGTCCCTCGTGTGTCCCTCACGTGTCCCTCGCGTGTCCCTCGTGTGTCCCTCACGTGTCCCTCGTGTGTCCCTCACATGTCCCTCGCGTGTCCCTCGCGTGTCCCTCGTGTGTCCCTCACGTGTCCCTCGTGTGTCCCTCACATGTCCCTCGTGTGTCCCTCGTGTCCCTCGTGTGTCCCTCGTGTGTCCCTCACGTGTCCCTCGTGTGTCCCTCGTGTGTCCCTCACGTGTCCCTCGTGTGTCCCTCACGTGTCCCTCGTGTGTCCCTCGTGTGTCCCTCACGTGTCCCTCGTGTGTCCCTCGTGTGTCCCTCACGTGTCCCTCGTGTGTCCCTCACGTGTCCCTCGTGTGTCCCTCGTGTGTCCCTCGTGTGTCCCTCGTGTGTCCCTCGTGTGTCCCTTGTGTGTCCCTCGTGTGTCCCTCGTGTGTCCCTCGTGTGTCCCTCGTGTGTCCCTCACGTGTCCCTCGTGTGTCCCTCATGTGTGTCCCTCGTGTGTCCCTCGTGTGTCCCTCGTGTGTCCCTCGTGTGGACCTGAGACTTTACAGTATTTCTGAATCTGCTCTGGTGTTGTGCACAGGTTGGACACTCGCGCGTCTGTTATTGGTTCTGGTAAAACAGTTTTTTAACTCGTTCTTTTGGAGTTGGAGTTATGTTGCTCTGCGCTGCCTCCTGCAGGAGAACAGTTCATATTCTGAAAATAGAACATGAGAAGCTCATTCAGAATCCTGACTGACCACAGCTTCCTCACACAGGGATGTAGAGGCTTTGGAACATGTCTCTGCCAACAGTAGAGCTGTCGATGCCAACCAGAGCAGTGTGGCTTTGACCCTAACCCACAGGTGTCAAACATACGGCCCAGGGGCCTGATCCGGCCCTCCAAGACCTTTAATCTGGCCCTCGGCTGATTTTCTACCAAAATATTTGAATTATATTTTCTATTAAAATCTTGTTAATTTTCTGTGGTGTTTATCACAGCAGCGTCTCCAGCGTCTCTGTACGTGGCCCCTCCCACCAGAGCAGCACAAATGAAGACTTGTCTCTTTCCAAACGCTCTTAAAGGACGATCGTTTTGACTGTTGACCGTGACACCCTCATCAGAAAAATGTCCAACATGAGAAAAGTGGAGCCGAGTGCAGGATTCCCCCCCAAAATGGACTTATTCTTATTTGCAAAAAAGTTCATGTTAAAACTTTGTGTTGAAATAGCATTTTTCTTAAAGTTTCAGGTTGTTCATAATATTATAATATTTTGTAAAAGAAAGAGTTCATCAATTAAAAAAGATTTGTGTAATAGATTTGTGTTTCTCTGCACAAATATTTGAACTTATTGTTATTTTTGGGGTTTATATGACATGAGTTTTCTGATCCGGACACTTTGGGATCAAAGTCGGTTTGATACGACCCCCGGAACAAAATGAGTTTGACACCCCTGCCCTGACCCATGAGCCTAACCCTGACCCCTGAGGACCCTGACCCTAACGTTGACCCTCCTCCTCTTTCTCTTCATCATAAATGGAATGTTTTTTCTTTGCTTTCACAGTTGTGAGGAGCGATGGCGCCGGTGCTGCCCCCTGTTGGTGCAGAGCTGTTCAGACCTTTCACTCTTCAGACTCTGGAGAAAATACAAGAAAAGCACGAAGAAGAGCAGAAGCTCGCTGAGAAACGCAGAGAAAACAACATCGAGGTTTGAAACAGACTGAATTCAGTGACACTGGAAGTTTTTGTTTTTTTTACTTTGAAAATTTCCCACAATTAAAACGTCTGACTGCAGCTTTCTGAGGATGACCTTCCCAAACCGGCGTCCGACCTGGAGGCGGGAAAACCCCTGCCCTTCATCTACGGAGACCCCGCCCCCGAGTTTTTCAACACACCGCTGGAGGATCTGGACCCCTTCTACCAATCACAGAAGGTACGAGAAAATCAGCCAATCAGAGCAGCCCTGAGCCCATTCAACCAATTACTATACAGAAAATACTGATAATATGCAGCTGTGAGTGTGATGCTAAAGGTAAACACACACACACACACACACACGCACACACACACACACACACACACACACACACACACACACACACACACACACACACACACACACACACACACACGCACACACACACACACACACACACACATACTCATACCCTTCTCAATAATCAATAGAAAAGCCTTTATTGGCTACTACAGTAATCCAGTGCTTCCTATAATTGCTGACCAGTTTTTGCACGTTTCCACTGATATTTTTGTCATTTTTAGCGGTGAGCTCCAATGCTTTCAGATTGGAGGGTCTCCTGCCATCACCCTGATCTTTATCTCCCTCCACAGATTCTCAGTTGGATTCAAGTCCGGACTCTGGCTGGGCCACTGCAAAATGCTAATGCTGTTTTCCAATAACCATTTTTTCACCACGTTTGCTGTTTGCTTTGGGTCATTGTCGTGCTGAAATGTTCACTGGTGCCCAGTCCAAGTTCCTCTGCGGCTGCTTGATGTTGTTGTTGAGAATCTTGATCTTTTGCTCTTTGTTCATGGGGCTGTTTACTGTGATTAGACTCACTGGTCCATTGGCTGTAAAACATCTCCAAAGCGTTAGGTTCCCACCATCATGTTTTACAGTGGGGATGTTGTTCTTAGAGTTGAAGGCTTCTCCTTTTTTATGCCAAATAAAGGATACATCATTGTGACCAAACAATTCCATTTTTGTTTCGTCTGCCCATAAAACAAAAGAGCAAAAGTCTTTTTCTTTGTCCAAATGAGCATTTGCAAAGGCTAAACGGGCTTTCGTGTGCCTTATCTGGAGAAGTAGCATCCTCCTTGGTCTGCGTCCGTGGAACCAGCAGTATGTCGTGTCTGTTGAATTGTCTGCCTTGAGATGTTCCACTAGCAGAGCCCAGATTCACCTGGATGGCCTTGGTGATGATCTGTGGATTCTTTTTCACCTCTGTCACTATCCTCCTGACCAGCACAGGTGTCACTTGTGGCTTCCGACCACATCCTCTGAGATTTTCCACAGTGTGGAACGTCTTGTATTTTTAATAATACTTTGCACTGTAGCCACTGGAACTTGAAAACATTTAGATTTGTTCTAATAGTCCTTTCCTCACATGTGAGCAGCCACAATACGCAGCCGTAGATCCTCTTATCCATGACAGTTCACAAACAAACTGCAAAGACCTGCTGTTTTTCACCTGTTCATTTGTTTAAAACAGCTCGTCCCAAAGAATCAGGGGAATTAGGAAGTTCTAGAACAGTTTGTGCTGTTTGAAATGGTATAGAACTTTGTATTTTTCCTCAGACTCTGACAGTTTACAAAGGGGGTGAATGATTTTAGACTTGCCACTTTTTGTTCAAATGTAAATAAAAGCTGAGAAATATTTTTTTCCACAATGATTCCTCTTGTACATCGTCTTATCTCCTGGGAGACGCCTGTGTCATTTCTAATCAAGAAAAATCTTGCTAGTTCAATAAAAGTAACTAAGTCAAAATTAGTCAGAGGTATGAATAATTTTGAGCTCAACTGTATATATGTATATATGTGTATATGTATATGTATATAATATATATATATATATATATATATATATATATATATATATATATTACAAATGCGTGTATTTTGTTAGGTCTCCATGGTAACTGTTGAACATTCCACCATAAACATACATGTAGAATGTCACTGCACAACTACTATCAACGTTTTCGTTTAGCCTTGTTCAATAATAAAACTGTGTTTTCTGTGTTTTGTTTCAGACGTTCATCATTTTGGGCAAAGGGAATGTGATCTATCGCTTCAACGCGGAGCCGGCCTGTTACCTGCTCTCGCCCTTCAACCCCCTGCGTCTGCTCGCCATCCGGATCCTCATCCACTCATATCCTCCATGTGCTCACCTGCCCTAACCCTGACTACCCATCCTCACCCCACTAACCTAACCCACTAACTAACCCACTAACCCTAACCCACTAACCCTAACCCACTAACCCTAACCCACCAACCCTAACCCACTAACCCTAACCCACCAACCCTAACCCACTAACCCTAACCACCACTAACCCTAACCCCAACCTAACCCTAACCCACTAACCCTAACCCCACCAACCCTAACCCACTAACCCTAACCCACTAACCCTAACCCACTAACCCTAACCCTAACCCTAACCCTAACCCACCTAACCCACTAACCCTAACCCACCAACCCACCACTACCCACCCAACCCTAACCCACCCAACCTAACCCACTAACCCTAACCACTAACCCTAACCCCTAACCCTAACCCACTAACCCTAACCCACTAACCCTAACCCAACTAACCCTAACCCACTAACCAACCCTAACCCAACCCCTAACCCTAACCCTAACCCACTAACCCTAACCCTAACCCACTAACCCACCAACCCTAACCCACCTAACCCTAACCCACTAACCCTAACCCCACAAACCCTAACCCACTAACCCTAACCCACTAACCCTAACCCCACTAACCCTAACCACCCACTAACCCACTAACCCTACCCACCAACCCTAACCCACCAACCCTAACCCACTAACCCTAACCCCACTAACCCTAACCCCACTAACCCTAACCCCACTAACCCTAACCCACCTAACCCTAACCCCACTAACCCTAACCCACTAACCCTAACCCACTAACCCTAACCCACAACCCTAACCCACTAACCCTAACCCTAACCCTAACCCTAACCCACCAAACCCTAACCCACCCTAACCCTAACCCACTAACCCTAACCCACTAACCCTAACCCAAACCCTAACCCTAACCCACCCTAACCCTAACCCACTACCCAACCCTAACCCACTAACCCTAACCCTAACCCACTAACCCTAACCCTAACCCACTAACCCTAACCCACCTAACCCTAACCCTAACTAACCCATAACCCTAACCCTAACCACCTAACCCTAACCCTAACCCTAACCCACTAACCCTAACCCACTAACCCCTAACCCTAACCCTAACCCACTAACCCTAACCCACCAACCCCACTAACCCTAACCCACAACCCTAACCCACCAACCCTAACCCACTAACCCTAACCCCTAACCCACTAACCCTAACCCACTAACCCTAACCCACTAACCCTAACCCACTAACCCTAACCCACTAACCCTAACCCACCACTAACCCTAACCCAACCAACCCTAACCCACCCTAACCCTAAACCCAACCCCTAACCCTAACCCTAACCCACTAACCCTAACCCACCCCAAACCCTAAACCCCTAACCCCACTAACCCTAACCCACTAACCCTAACCCACCCCTAACCCTAACCCACCCTAACCCTAACCCACAAACCCTAACCCTAACCCACTAACCCTAACCCTAACCCCAAAAACCCTAACCCTAACCCCACTAACCCTAAACCCACTAACCCTAACCCCACTAACCCTAACCCACTAACCCTAACCCACTAACCCTAACCCTAACCCCACTAACCCTACCCCTAACCCCAACCAACCCTAACCCACCAACCCTAACCCCACTAACCCTAACCCCACTAACCCTAACCCCACTAACCCTAACCCACTAACCCTAACCCTAACCCACCAACCCTAACCCACTAACCCTAACCCACTAACCCTAACCCCACTAACCGTTACCCCACCAACTCTAACCCACTGACTCTCACTGCATCAGAATTGACACATGTGAATGTAGATGTTTAAAAACAGCTTTTACCCTTTACTTTGATCACTGCTGCCATGACAACCCCATCACCTACACACAGAGTTTCACAGTTTTCACATCACAGCTGCACCACATCAGGGTCAAGAAATACCAAAAGTGCAAAGCAGTGATCAAATCAAAGGGTAAAGTGCTTTGTGTTGCAGTTTTTGTATGAAAAGCTCTCTATAAATAAAGTTTGACTGATTGATTGATTGACTGATTGATAAAGGTTTTTACATTTTTAAAGTTATTTTTAAGTGTATTCCTTTTTACAACATTCACACGTGTCATTCATGTTTTGACTCCAGAGTATCTGTACACTTCTTTGACTCTGAACCCAACAGTCTTCAGCCTCTTCATCATGATGACAATTCTGACCAACTGTGTTTTCATGACCATGAGCGACCCGCCGCCCTGGAGTAAGACCGTGGAGTGAGTATCCACCAATCACAGCAGTTCACCTCTTCAAACAACCAATCAGAGCTCTTCACACAGACTGGATGTACACTAGAGATGCGCGGATTGCGTTTACGGGCGGATGACGTGACGAAAAATAATATTTTAATTAAATTCGGGCTGGTGGTGGTTTAACTACTCAAATTTTAAAATATATATATTACAGCCTATATTGTTAAGTGTTATGAAATATGCGTCTTTACTCCTATGTGCAATGTTTATAGCGGCGTGTGGCGTGTGGCGTGAGCGTGACTGCGTGTGCGCCCCCGAGGCACGCGCTTCTTGAATGGGCCCGTGGAGCGCACAGGTGTCTCTTACTGTATGTAGAATGAATAGTAGGAAAGCGACTGAAGTGAGTCAGGAAGCAATTGTCCTGTTATTTAGTGCATCACGGCTTGTATGTGGCCACACCGGCTTGTAAAAAGCCTGATCCCGTCAGCAGGTCTGGGCCTGGGTAGGACTTGGATGGGAGACCGCGAGGAATTCCAGGTGCCACAGTGGGGCCAGTGGCAAAAAAACTGTGGTTGTGTCCTTAGGCAAGACACTTCACCTACATTGCCTAGTATGAAAGTGGTGTGAGCGTGAGTGATGGTGGTGGTCGAAGGGGCCCATGGTGCAGATTGGCAGCCTCGCTTCCATCAGTCTGCCCCAGGGCAGCTGTGGCTACAGTAGTAGTTTACCACCACTGAGTGTGGAGTGACTGAATAATGAACTGTAAAGCACTTTGGGGATCTTGAAAGGTGCTATATAAATGCTATCAATCAATCAATCAAATAAAGCCACGATTCTTGAGCAACAAACTGGCGCGTTTATTGAGCCCACGCACTCACGGTGAGGCTCTGAACAGGGAGTTAAACCCTGAGCAACGAGCGGAGTTTTGTTACGGACAATTAAGAATGCGAACATGCACAATGAGCAAATTTTGGAATGAATGAGCTATAGAGTTTGCATTTTTATCGAGGCTCCTTAGTTTGTTCGCTATATGATTGTTCTAAAATCTAAAATCAATCGGCGGATGGCGGCGAGTGCGGTTTTGAAAATTGGTCAAAACCTTTACCTTCCAGGAGTCAGAGATTAGAACTACAGAGACACACAGGCATTATAGATCTGATTTAAACATCTGTCTGCTCTCCTCAGGTATGTGTTCACGGGGATCTACACGTTCGAGGCTCTGGTGAAGGTTTGCTCCAGAGGATTCTGTGTTGGAGACTTCACTTTTCTCCGAGACCCCTGGAACTGGCTCGACTTTATGGTCATCTCCATGGCGTGAGAACACTCTGCCCTAACCCACAGGATCCTCCTAATCCCAATGACCCCCATGACCCCCATGACCCCCATGACCCCTATGACCCATCATGATCCCCCTGACCCCCCCCCCGACCCCTATAACCCTCCTAACCTCGTGACCCAGTGGTGGACACTTAACCCCCCTCGTCCGCAGTGTCTGTGTACACTGGTGTATGAGTGTGTGTGTGTGTGTCTGTGTGTGTGTGTGCATGTGTGTGTTTGTGTGTATTTGTTCATGTGATTCTCATGTGTTTGTCTTTGACTCTGAGGCAGGTATCTGACCGAGTTTGTGGATCTGGGAAATGTATCAGCGCTCAGGACTTTCAGGGTCCTTCGTGCTCTGAAGACCATCACTGTGATCCCAGGTGAGTTGGATTCTGGTCTGGTCTCTGTTCTAACCTGGTCTCTGGTCAGATCTCTGGTCTTTGGTCTGGTCTCTGGTCTTTGGTCTGGTCTCTGGTCTGGTTGGGTCTCTGGTCTTTGGTCTAACCGGTCTCTGTTCTTCTCAGGTCTGAAGACCATCGTAGGTGCTTTGATCCAGTCTGTGAAGAAGCTGTCAGACGTGATGATCCTGACCGTGTTCTGCCTCAGTGTTTTTGCTCTCATCGGACTTCAGCTGTTTATGGGAAACCTGCGTCAGAAGTGTGTCCTAGCCCCTCCCCTCAATGCCACCGCCGCCAACAGCTCTGACCTGCTCCAAAACACCACAGACGGACAGGGCGACTTTAACTACTACGAGTTCATCAATAACCCAGGTGCACAATCCTCTAGCTCAGGGGTCGGCAACCCACAATATTCAAAGAGCCATATTGGCCCAAAAAAACAAAAACCAAACCTGCCTGGAGCCGCACAAAATGAAAAGTCTTATATAAGCCTAATATGAAGACAACACAGGCTGTCAGTATATTAACTGTATAAACCGACTATTAAAATGACTCAGTCGTCTACAAATACAAAATGATCATCATGATACACAAACCCTCTGTGACCCTCTCACACTCGCTGCTCCGTCTGTAGCCACTGAAATCAGGTGGTTCGTGTTTATTCCTTTGTCATTTAGGCCCCGTTTACACGTACACGAGTATTTTGAGAAATGAATATTTCTCTCCCTCCATTTTCCAAAATAACATCGTGCACACAGCATCGTTTTCAAAAAAGTTTCTGTTTACATCAACCGGATAAATACACCATCGAAACGCCGTTATAACTACACCGAGCCTCTGGGAGCACCTGAATCAGACTCAAACCTGTAGCATTTATTTCATTACAGTTGTAAATATTACTCACACATACCTTGAAAAAGGTGCATTAGTGAGCATGAGATCTGTTCAAGAAGTGGTAAAATCACTGAACCCCGAGCCCTCGTTCATCTCTGCTCATGGATCTGATCCATCAGCTGTGTGCAAATGAAACACATGAAAAGTGTTTCAGCAGAACAAATAGATGAGCTGAAGTGGGGGGTGGTGTCCACCTCCACCTGAGAAGAACTTTCCCCGAAAAAAAGTGTGAATCCCATTTGGTTCATTATATGTTGTTCTGAGCGTCCGTTTGCGCGCGTGTTTTTTTGTTGTTTTTGTTTTTTTCGGCTTTGCAGGTATTTGGCCGTAGCTGCTTTCCTTGTTGTCCCTTCGAGGAGCCATTTGCTTGTGAGATACAGAGATACTTGTAACTGTCCTGCTATTGTTCCCTCTGTGTGTTCTACCTCCCCTCTCTTTGTGCATTTCTCGAGCTTGAATGACATTCCAGTGTCTGTGCTGTAGATCCTGGTGGTGTGGATCAGTGAGTCGATGTCTCGTTCTTAGCGTACAGCTCGATGTTTTCGATGTAGAGGAGGTGACTGATGGTGGCCCCGTTTCTGAGTCGTATCTGTAGCCAGTGCGGTCGATGATTTGGCTGAGGGGGTTCAGATGCAGAACAGCAGTGGGGACAGTGAGTCTCCTTGGTATATGCCACATTTGATGGACACTTGTGCAAGTGGCTTCCCATTGGCTTAAACGGTGGTTTTCCACAACCGCACTGAGTTTGCAGTGAAGGCCCTTAGAGTCCTGTTGATATTGTACAGCTCCAAGCTCTCAGTGATCCATGTGTGTGGCATTGAGTCAGAGGATTTCTTGTAATCAATCCAGGCAGTGCACAGGTTGGTCTTACAGGTTCTGCAGTTGCGGGCGACTGTTTGGTCAATCAGGAGTTGGTGTTTGGCTCCCCTAGTGTTTTTGCCAATGCCCTTCTGTGCTGTGCTCATGTATTGATCCATGTGCCGCTTATCTGAGCCATGATGATGCTTGAGCTTCCATATTGTGGAGGGACAGGTTATTGGCCCATAGTTGAGGCTTCAGGAGCTCTTCGGTTAGCCATTTAGGGCGATATACTTATAGGTCATAGACTGTATATAAATGGACAAAGCTAACCCACTGGTCATTGTATTCCAAATAGAAAATGAGCATGGGAGTGCTCTGCTGCTGTGGGTGAGGTCACACATCTTCATGTAGTCTGTGGATGCTCCTCTAGCTGCGGCTGTCTGTGTTTTGCAGCAAACTATTACTTTCTGGAGGGACAGAGGGATCCTCTTCTGTGTGGGAACAGCTCAGATGCTGGGTGAGTCTCATTTTTGTACATTTGAATTTTTTTCTATGGTTTTTAAAAGGTGAAAAGTTGAAATGTTTGTGTGTTCCCAGAGTTTGCCCTGACGGTTACGTGTGTCTTAAAGCCGGACCAAATCCAAATTATGGCTACACCAGCTATGACAGCTTTGCCTGGGCTTTCCTTGCCCTCTTCAGGCTCATGACACAGGACTTCTGGGAAAACCTCTTCCAGCTGGTACGGAACTAAACCAGGACTAATGGAGGACTAAACCAGGACTTAACCCAAACTAACAGCTTTGTCTGTTTGCATCCGCCTCTCCAGACCCTGCGAGCAGCTGGTAAGACCTACATGTTGTTCTTCGTGGTGGTGATCTTCTTGGGTTCGTTCTACCTCATAAACCTGATCCTGGCGGTGGTGGCCATGGCCTACGCCGAGCAGAACCAGGCCTCCATTGATGAGCAGCGGCAGAAGGATGAAGAGTACCAGCAGATCCTGGAGGCCCTGAAGGTCCGAGAGGAGGAGGTGAGTCCAGACTGTGACTGAACCAGGACTGAACCAGGACTGAACCAGGATTGAACCAGGACTTTGACTTCTCTGTGTTTGCAGCAAGCGGCTCTGAGGAAGAACGACCCAGAATCTTACGACCAAACGGCACCTGCAGGTACACAACACACACAACTGCAGGTACACAACACACACAACTGCAGGTACACAACACACACAACTGCAGGTACACAACACACACAACTGCAGGTACACAACACACACAACTGCACACAACTGCAGGTACACAACACACACAACTGCAGGTACACAACACACACAACTGCAGGTACACAACACACACAACTGCAGGTACACAACACACTGCAGGTACACAACACACTGCACACAACACACACAACTGCAGGTACACAACACACACAACTGCAGGTACACAACACACACAACTGCAGGTACACAACACACATGCACACACCTGTGGTTGAATCTGAAAGGTTTAGGTGGAGTCTTTGGGGCAGAGTCTTTGGGGCAGAGTCTTTGGGGCAGAGTCTTTGGGGCAGAGTCTTTGGGCAGAGTCTTTTGGGCAGAGTCTTTGGGCAGAGTCTTTGGGGCAGAGTCTTTCTGGTGGGGTTTGTGTCTGTGGTTGATTCTGAAGCACTGGGGAAGAGTGTTTGTCTCAGATCAGTGTCTTCTGTCTCAGAGCCGGAGGAGGAGCGTCCCTGTCCTCCGTGTTGGTACTGGGTGTCGTCACGGTTCCTGGTGTGGGACTGTGCATGCTGGCGCCCCCTGCAGAGGGTTCTGTACCTGATTGTCATGGACCCGTTTGTGGATCTGGGCATCACCATCTGCATCGTCCTCAACACGGTGTTCATGGCCATGGAGCACTACCCCATGTCTCAGGACTTTGAGCATCTGCTGACCATTGGGAACCTGGTGAGGACCAGACTGGACCAGATGAGCCTAAATCAGACTGGACCAGCCCAGGCCAGACCAGACTAGACTAGATCAGCCCAGACCAGACCAGACTAGACTGGACCAGACCAGCCTAGACCACCCCAGACCAACCTAAACCAGACTAGACCAGTCTAGATCAGCCTAGACCAGTTTAAACCAGTTTAGACCAGGGTCAGTCCATATGAAATCAACCGTTTTCAAGAAATCTCCCCTATGAGCCATCTCAGATTTGGCTGAAAAAATTTGTAAAAATTTCTAAAATGATCAAATGAAAGAATCTAAAATTTTAGCTCAATCCATTCAGTCATGAGTTTCGGCCCGTTGAAATTTTGGGGCCATGCTCACTTTTTCGGACGCCTTAATTTATAAACATGTTTGAGAGACCAGAACTTCATAAAAAATAGAGCTAGGAAGATGAACATTTTTATTATTATAGATTCTTGGTCACAGATTCTGAATCTGTTGTCAAATATTGGGTATCAATATTAAGGCTGTGGCTGTGGGCCCCAACATCTCACATTTGGTTGCCGCTCAGGTTTTTTTTTTTTTTTTTTTTTTTTTTTAAGTTTTTGAGGTCCAAGATCAGTTTACTCCAAGCAGATCTTTACAAACTAACTGAACCTGAATATTTGAGAGAATGACCATATCTGACACAAATCTCACACTTTTCTGAGTTTTCATGTGGACGGTGTAGAGTCCCAAATATAGTCACAGACCAAATGTGATCTTTCTGGCCCCTTCTTCTGATTAGTTTAAAGTAATAAAAACATCTACTATTAACTTCGTTCATTTCAGTCGGAATCTTTATAAAATGAGCTCTCATGGGTCATTTTTGGTGGAGCTTAAGGACTTTTCCACCTTCAGAAAGGTTAATTTACCTTTAATCGACTTAAACGTTATTTGCTTGTTATAAGGGAAGACAGTTGGAGATTATAGGGGAGGGCGGCTGATTTCATATGGACTGACCCACCAGTGTTAGTCTAGGGTTAGACCTGGTTTAATCCTGTATAGAACTGGTTTAGTTCTGCTTTAGACTTGGTTTAGACCTGGTTTAGTCCCAGTTCAGACCTGGTTCTGTTTCAGGTCTTCACTGGGATCTTCACGGCTGAGATGGTGCTGAAGCTTCTGGCTCTGGATCCGTATCATTACTTCCAGGTGAGTTTTTTTGGTCCATGTAACAATCCTAGTTCAGTCCTGCTTTAGTCCTAGTTTAGACCTGGTTTAGACCTGGTTTAGTCCTGGTTTAAACCTGGTTTAGTCCTGGTTTAAACCTAGTTTAGACCTGGTTTAGACTGTTTTTTCATATCTTCTCCAGGTGGGCTGGAACATCTTTGACTGCATCATCGTCACCATGAGCCTTGTGGAGCTGGGACTGGCCAATGTCCAGGGACTGTCTGTGCTGCGCTCCTTCCGATTGGTCAGTCCATACACACATACACACATACACACATACACACATACACACATACACACATACACACATACACACATACACACATACGTAATAAAACTGTCAGGTGACCTCACGTTCTGCATCAGGTGACCTCAGGTTCTACAGGTTTGTCGTATTTACAGGAGACGTGAGGAGTTGGAAACGTATAAAGAGTCTTGCCCAAGGACACAACAATAATGTCTGTTCAGACTAAAGGCTCAAATCTGCTTCATGTTCTAGACACAGACACACTGGAATCTCCTGTCCTCTATGTGGTTCTGTGTGGTTCTGTGTGGTTCTGTGTGGTTCTGTCTGTCCTCTAACAGTAACAGTATATGCAGTAATGGTACTGTGGTACTGCAGTACTGTATAGTATAAAGAATAAAGTAATAAAGTATAAAGTATAAAGTATATATATATGCAGTACATATATGTTGCAGATGCGAGTGTTTAAACTGGCCAAGTCCTGGCCCACTCTGAACATGCTCATTAAAATCATCGGGAACTCTGTGGGCGCCCTGGGGAACCTGACCCTGGTCCTCGCCATCATCGTGTTCATCTTCGCCGTGGTGGGCATGCAGCTGTTTGGGCGGAGCTACGGCGAGTGCGTGTGCCGGATCGCCGAGGACTGCGAGCTCCCGCGCTGGCACATGACGGACTTCTTCCACTCGTTCCTCATCATCTTCAGGGTTCTGTGTGGAGAGTGGATCGAGACCATGTGGGACTGTATGGAGGTGTCCGGACAAACCATGTGTCTCATCGTCTTCATGATGGTCATGGTCATCGGGAACCTGGTGGTAAGGCCCAAACCAGGACTAGACCAGGACTAGACCTGGACTACACCAGGACTACACCAGGACTGAACCAGGACTAACCCTGGTCTCTGGTGCAGGTCTTGAACCTGTTCCTGGCTCTGCTGCTCTCCTCCTTCAGTGGAGACAACCTCTCTGCTCCAGAGGACGACTCTGAGAACAACCTTCAGATCGCTGTGAACCGGATCCAGAACGGGCTCGACTGGACCAAGACCAAGGTCCGAGACCTGGTCCTGAAGTACTGGCCCCACAGACAAGAACCAGGTAAAACCAGCTGGACTAAACCAGGACTAAACCAGGACTAAACCAGGACTAAACCAGGACTAAAATGGACCATATCATTTTGTGTCTTGTCAGAAACAAGCACCACTGAGGTCAACCAATCAGACGAGACAAAGAACGAGGGGGAGGAGCTTGTGGCGCTGACCCCGGTGATGTCATCGGGGCAAAGTAAAGACGACAGGAACAGCTGTTACTATGACAATATCGTGGCTCTAAGGGTCCCTCTGGCCCCTCCCGAGTCCGAGTCCGAGTCTGAGTCCGAACTGTCGGACCAGGACCAGGTCAGAACAGATGCTACGGAAGTGTCCGAATGTCTCCCCCTGTCCCTAACCCCTCCCCCTGTCCCTAACCCCTCCCCCTGTGAGGCGCAGCGGTTTGTGAAAATGACCTTTGACCCCTGACAGGACGAGGAGGTGTCGTCTGAGTGCAGCACTGTGGAGAGGAACCCTGTGGTGGTGGAGGAGGAGGAAGAGGAGCCAGACGCCCCTGAAGACTGCTGCTCCGAAAGTGAGAGCGCTGACCTCCAACCCTCTGACCTCCAACCCTCTGACCTCCAACCCTCTGACCTCTGCCCCCTCTGACCTCCAACCCTCTGACCTCTGCCCCCTCTGACCTCCAATCCTAAGCTCATCACCCTTTGACCCATAACCCCATCATCCCCCTGTCATGTCCTTCTCTCTCTCCTTCTCTCTCTCCCTCCTCGTCTTTCACCACATGCACATCCATCCTTCCTGCCATTACCTCCATGACACAAAGGTTCTGTTTGGAACAGCTCATGTAGTGACGTCCATGGACCTGCAGGGGGCGCTGCAGTAACATTAGTCTCCTGTGAGCTCTCTGTTACTGCATGGACCTGCAGGGGGCGCTGTCCTGTTGGGGGCGCTGTGCTCACCCATAGATCTGCAGTGTATTCACTGTCCTGTTGGGGGCGCTGTCTCCACAGACTGTTACAGACGCTGTCCGGCCTTGGACGTAGACTCCAGTCTGGGTCGGGGTCTGATTTGGACCAACTTCAGGAAAACCTGTTTCTCCATCGTCGAGCACAACTACTTTGAGACCTTCATCATCTTCATGATCCTGCTGAGCAGCGGCGCCCTGGTAACCACGGCAACCAGCACGCTGTGACCGTAGCGATGGCATGTTGTAACCACGGCAACCAGCACGCTGTGACCGTAGCGATGGCATGTTGTAACCATGGCAACCAGCACGCTGTGACCGTAGCGATGGCATGTTGTAACCATGGCAACCAGCACGCTGTGACCGTAGCGATGGCATGTTGTAACCATGGCAACCAGCACGCTGTGACCGTAGCGATGGCATGTTGTAACCACGGCAACTGAACTAACAGCTGATAGAAAAATTCAATATCTGTGGAAACAGCCACAGCTGTCGTGGTTTGGGAATTTGTCCTGCAGTGTGGTACAGCAGCTCAACACCGCGGTACGTGGTGATACCACAGATATAGCGTGGGTAACGTGGTAGAAGTAACATTTGGCTTTGAAACAAGTGCCTCTGCATCTCTCCAGCTCTCACTGTGGCAGCTCAGGTCACTCAGGTCACTGCATCCTGCACCAGGTCAGGTACCCGTGGACTTAAGAGAGAGAGAACAGAGAGCAGGGTGTCCGCAAAGCACGATGAGGCGATGGCTGCACTTACCTCCGTGTGGCGCGGAGCTCTACACGGGTCCTTTCGCCTGTGATCACCCGACAGTCTACGCGGGTGCACCTTAGTCCTTAGTTAGTCCTGGGTTAGTTCCAAATTAGTCCTGGGATAATCCTGAGTCAGTCCTGGGTTAGTCCTGGGTTATCACGGGCACAGGCGGTAAAGGGTGGAATCTTCACGGGTCCGGTCGGGTGCGGGTCTCTAAAATGGACCCGTGTAGGACTCTGGGTCGGGTCACGTTGGTCACGTGCGGTGATCGCGGTGGCCCAGCATGCACCGTGGTCGGCCTCTTAGTACCACGGTGATTCATTTTTGAGGTTATCATGACGGCCCTGGCTCAAGTCACTGCTCTGATGCTCACTGGTCTACAAACCAAGACACACCCTGACCCCTAACCTCTGACCTCTAACCTTAGAGTTAGGGGTCAGGGGTCAGGAGTTAGGGATCGCCCACTTAGAACAGTTTAACTAGAGTGACTCATAATGCCACATTTGGCAAGTTCTTTTTGACTGATGTGAGTGAAGTGATGATTTCAGTGCTGATTTGAAGAGATGCTCCCTGCACCTTCCAGGAGAAACACTGAATGACAAGCTCTTCTCTGATTGGTCTTTTTCTAATCTTTGCTGTGATTGGTTCTTTGCTGGTGGATGTTTGTCATGTGACCGGACCTGTGTACGTTTTAAATAACTGAATATTTGAGCTGCATGACGAGGTTCACGCTTATTATTGAGCATGATGCACAATGTGAAGAGCAAAGGGGAAAGGGTTAGGAGCTAAGTGGGAGGGGTCAGGAGGTGTGGGAGGGGCTCTGGACTGGACTGGAGAACACTGTGAGATCATCTGAAATTCACTGCGGAGAACAGCTGGGCTTGTGTTCCTCTTGTGTTCCTCAGGCCTTTGAGGACATCTACCTGGAGCAGCGGCGCGTGGTGAAGATCGTGCTGGAGTTCGCAGACCAGGTCTTCACCTACGTGTTTGTGGTGGAGATGGTTCTCAAGTGGGTGGCCTATGGGTTCAAAACCTACTTCACCAACGCCTGGTGCTGGCTGGACTTCCTTATCGTAGATGTAAGTCCAAGTCCGGTCCACTGGGATTCTAACCAGTCTAGAGGAGGGTCTGAACAGGTTTAGACAAGGATCTAAACAGGTCTAGAAGAGGATCTGAACAGGTCTAGAAGAGGATCTGAACAGGTCTAGAAGAGGATCTGAACAGGTTTAAAGAAGGATCTGAACAGGTCTAGAAGAGGATCTGAACAGGTTTAGAGGAGGATCTGAACAGATCTAGAAGAGGATCTGAACAGGTTTAGAGGAGGATCTGAACAGATCTAGAAGAGGATCTGAACAGATCTAGAAGAGGATCTGAACAGGTTTAGAAGAGGATCTGAACAGGTTTAGAGGAGGATCTGAACAGGTCTAGAAGAGGATCTGAACAGGTTTAAAGAAGGATCTGAACAGGTCTAGAAGAGGATCTGAACAGGTCTAGAAGAGGATCTGAACAGGTCTAGAAGAGGATCTGAACAGGTTTAGAAGAGGATCTGAACAGGTTAGAAGAGGATCTGAACAGGTCTAGAAGAGGATCTGAACAGGTCTAGAAGAGGATCTGAACAGGTTTAGAGGAGGATCTGAACAGGTCTAGAAGAGGATCTGAACAGGTCTAGAAGAGGATCTGAACAGGTCTAGAAGAGGATCTGAACAGGTTTAAAGAAGGATCTGAACAGGTTTAGAAGAGGATCTGAACAGGTCTAGAAGAGGATCTGAACAGGTTTAAAGAAGGATCTGAACAGGTCTAGAAGAGGATCTGAACAGGTCTAGAAGAGGATCTGAACAGGTTTAAAGAAGGATCTGAACAGGTCTAAGAAGAGGATCTGAACAGGTTTAGAGGGATCTGAACAGGTCTAGAAGAGATCTGAACAGGTCTGAAGAGGATCTGAACAGGTTTAAAGAAGGATCTGAACAGGTCTAGAAGAGGATCTGAACAGGTCTAGAAGAGGATCTGAACAGGTTTAGAGGAGGATCTGAACAGGTTGAACTGAAGAGAGATCTGAACAGGTCTAGAAAGAGGATCTGAACAGGTTAGAGAGGATCTGAACAGGTCTAGAAGGATCTGAACAGAGAGGAGGATCTGAACAGGTCTAGAAGAGGATCTGAACAGGTTTAGAGAGGATCTGAACAGGTTTAAAGAGGATCTGAACAGGTCTAGAAGAGGATCTGAACAGGTCTAGAAGAGGATCTGAACAGGTCTGAACAGAAGAGGATCTGAACAGGTCTAAGGTTTAAGAGGATCTGAACAGAAGAGGATCTGAACAGGTCTAGAAGAGATCTGAACAGGTCTGAACAGGTCTAGAAGAGGATCTGAACAGGTCTAGAAGAGGATCTGAACAGGTCTAGAAGAGGATCTGAACAGGTTGAAAGAGGAACAGGTCTAGAAGAGGATCTGAACAGGTCTAGAAGAAGGTCTAGAATCTGAACAGGTTTATCTGAGAGAGATCTGAACAGGTTTAGAGGTCTGAACTGAACAGGTTTAGAGAGGATCTGAACAGGTTTAAAGAGGATCTGAACAGGTCTAGAAGAGGATCTGAACAGGTCTAGAAGAGGATCTGAACAGGTTAAAGAGAAGAGGATCTGAAACAGGTTTAAAGAAGGATCTGAACAGGTCTAGAAGAGGATCTGAACAGGTCTAGAAGAGGATCTGAACAGGTTTAAAGAGGATCTGAACAGGTCTAGAAGAGGATCTGAACAGGTCTAGAAGAGGATCTGAACAGGTCTAGAAGAGGATCTGAACAGGTCTAGAAGAGGATCTGAACAGGTTTAGAGGAGGATCATAACTGGTTTTGCTTCGGTTCTCAGTTGTCTCTTAAACTCTCTTGTCAGGTGTCGCTGGTGTCTCTCACGGCGAATATTCTCGGTTACTCTGAGCTCGGCGCCATCAAGTCCCTGCGGACGCTGCGTGCGCTGAGGCCGCTGCGCGCTCTGTCGCGGTTCGAGGGCATGAGAGTAACTAACCTCACTGTGTTTATCATGGACTCTTATTTATACTGTGCAGATGATGTCGTCCACGTTCCCTGGGGGTGATGCTAACTGTAGGCACTGCTCTGTCTGAGACTTTGTTATTACATTAATCTGAGTTTTGTTTTAACCCAACCTGACCAGACAGAACTGACTCAGCTGAAGTACAACAGGTGAGATGATTTGTGCTGTTAAACACGTCTCTCTCAAAGAACGTTAAGCTAGCATTAACATTAGCATTAGCATTAGTCCAGTGCCCGTCCGACCTCCGTGAAGTCGCCCCATCAAATGCAAACCTGCACTAAAACTATGTCAATCGTTTATGCTTCGTTTTTGCGATTATGGTTCTTCTACTTCTTGCAATAGTTATATGGCACAGGTGTCAAACATGCGGCCCGGGGGCCAGATCCAACCCTCCAAGACCTTTAATCTGGCCCTCGGCTGATTTTCTACTAAAATATTTGAATGATATTTTCTATTAAAATCTTGTTAATTTTCTGTGGTGTTTATCACAGCAGCGTCTCCAGCGTCTCTGTACGTGGCCCCTCCCACCAGAGCAGCACAAATGAAGACTTGTCTCTTTCCAAACGCTCTTAAAGGACGATCGTTTTGACTGTTGACCGTGACACCCTCATCAGAAAAATGTCCAACATGAGAAAAGTGGAGCCGAGTGCAGGATTTTACAACAAAAATTTATTTATTCTTATTTGCAAAAAAGTTCATGTTAAAACTTTGTGTTGAAATAGCATTTTTTCTTAAAGTTTCAGGTTGTTCATAATATTATAATATTTTGTAAAAGAAAGAGTTCATCAATTAAAAAAGATTTCTGTAATAGATTTGCGTTTCTTTGCACAAATATTTGAACTTGTTGTTATTTTTGGGGTTTATATGACATGAGTTTTTTTGATTCGGCCCCTTTAGGATCAAAGTAGGTTGGATACATGAGTTTGACACTGTTATATGGCGTCATTTCCGCTCAGCTGACAGCGGCAAAAAATATGAATCCAAAGCGATTTACTAAAAACTGATGCAGACTTTTCCACAGCCTCAGATCGTTTCTCTGCTTTTGTGGAGTTTGGTTAAAGCCGCTGCCGTCAGCTGAGCGGAAATGATGCCATATAATTTCCGTAAAAGCAATAATGAATCATTTTAGAAATATACTCACAGAAATGAAAACTGTCACAGCACAAAACAGCACAAACCAAAAACAAACATTTAGTTTAATTTTCTGCTGTTTTGAGGCTGTTTCTCATTTTGAGGGGCTGGATGACGTCGTCGGCCGTAGGGCTGGTATCATTAAGGAGTTGCAGACCTCGATACACAAGCCACGATACGATACATATCTCGATACAGTGCACTTTCAGTTCGATACAATATATTTCAAATCGATTCGATACGGTTCAATAAAAAATAAAGGCTAAATTGTGGCTGTGATACTAAAAGTCTTTGTTAAACCACTTCTTGTGCAAAGTTCACATAAAACACAAACATTTTAATCATCAAAACAGTAAAAATGTCAAATGTGTTGAACAAACGAGTTTCCTTTCACTAAACAAGCAACAAAACTGTAGTGCTGTAATAATTTAGTAAAACACACCTAAAAATACTCTTGGTGAAATATCGATACAGTAGCCCATGATATTGATACTGTATCATCACATTAAACGATATGAAATATCGATATTCCGATATTTTTGCGCACCCCTAGTCGGCCGAACGTAAAACTGTTAAGATCTTAAAAACCGGAATCTCACAAACGAAACTTTTTGAAACACAAACAAATACAAACGGTTGACATAGTTTTGTAGACGTTTGTGTTTGATGGGGGCGACTTCACGCAGGAATCTGTGAATATTCTTCTTATTACAAGTAACAAAAGAGCTCAGACTGCACATGTGCAGTCCAGACACCAGAGCGACCTTCATAAATGAACAGTTATTGTGTGATCTTGTGATCTCATGGTTTCTGTGCAGCCTTCAAAGGCGCTGACCACAGCAGAAGAGCTTCAGTTCACATGTGAGTGTCACACCACAGTAAGACCCGACGCACATGGAAGCTGCAGCTGGACTGAAAGGCATTAGCTTTATTAGTCAAACGTTTTTCAGTTTGTCACGCTCACCTTTTATTGTAATATCAAACTCCTAAACAGGACCATGAACGTCTCAAATAAATAAATACAAAAAATAAAATAACACCTGGACTGATCACAGGCTCCTGAAAATGTGCTCTTTAAAATCTTTTTGTGTTTATTGAGTTTTCAGACAATCTTAAAACTCTTTTGTTAGTGTTTGCTAATGTGTGCTTTGTATCTCAATGGTAACTGCTGAACATTTCACCATAGAGATACGTGTAGAACACCCCGTGTGATGTCACTGCACAGTATCTATGATTATGATGGACACTGTTTTACTGTGGTTCTCTGCGGTGCAGGTGGTGGTTAACGCCTTGGTCGGAGCGATCCCGTCCATCTTTAACGTCCTCCTGGTTTGTCTGATCTTCTGGCTCATCTTCAGCATCATGGGAGTCAATCTTTTCGCTGGAAAGTTTTATTATTGTTCGAATGAAACGTCTGGGGAGAGGTTTGAGCCTGCGGAGGTGGAGAATCGCTCTCAGTGTGAGGAGCTGATGCTGCAGCATCCAGGAGAGGTCCGCTGGAAGAACGTCAAAGTCAACTACGACAACGTGGGCATGGGCTACCTGTCCCTGCTGCAAGTGGTACCACTGCACACACAACTGTACAAGTGTCTGTACAAGTGTCTGTACAAGTGTGACGCTAACTGTAGGCACTGCTCTCTCTGAACCTCTGTTACTCAAGTTAGACTTTAATCTTTTTGTTTTAACCCAGTCTGACCAAAAAGAACTCACTTAGGTGTTTCCATCAGGTGAGATGATTTGTGCCGTTAAACACGTCCCTCTCAAAGGGTTAGCATTAGCATTAGCATTAGCATTAGCATTAGCATTAGCCAACAGTTTTTCAGTGAGTCATTCTCATCTTTTTGTTGAAAAGAAAATCATTTTCAGGCCGTCTTACGCCGAGTTCACACCAGGAGCTGCAGCAGCGTTTAACGTAGGTGGAGCTGCACAGACGCGTAAATTTCAAAGTTTCAATTCACACCAGAGTCAGAGACGCTCCTGCTGCAGCTGCACATCTTCTCACTGTTTTCAGACGTCACATTTTGTACTTGCTTTTTATCATTTATTTTATGTTAAAGTGTATTAATTTAGAAGGTGTATTAAGTGTATTGTGAATTAAGTACAACTGCAACGCATTTGTGTTAATGAGGTTTAAATCTATTAACACGCACATTAAACACCTCCGTTTTTGTTTGTTTTTTCTTCAATAAGGTAAAATCACTTATAATTAACAAACGTTATGAGCGTGATTAAAATCTTATGTCCATCCAGGTAATAAGGCCGATACATTTATACGGGCAAATAGTCACTGAAACGGGTGAGTTTTAACGTTCTGGGTTAAGGGCGGGTCAGGACTAAACCAGGACTAAACCAGGACTACATCAGGACTAAACCAGGACTAATCTTGGAGAGAGAGAAAGTGAACCCTGAGCCTTGCGGAGCAGGTGTCCATAAAGAGTGACATTATAATTAATAATTATAATTATGTTATATTTCTCCACTTCGAGGATTAACTTTTCGTCGTCCATCATGAACCTTGGACACAGTGTGCGTTGTTTACGTCGTTGTCTTGACTTTGGTTAACTTATTTTGAAAGGGCAATGGAAGTTTATTTTGACAATGTGTGTTTATTTCCTGTCTTTCCCATTTTAAAAACCTTGGAGACACACTGTTGACGCTGTAAAATTAGAACTCCAACCTCTCGAGCAGCGCGTCAGCGTCAGACGCTCGTTGGACGCGCGTATGACACTGTCGGTGTTACACTGACCGGTCAAAATGGAGTTCTAAAGCTGCTCGTGTTCTCTGCTCCCGTTGCGCTTTGGTGTGAATTGGGGGTTAAAGTTTTTTTGGCTGTGTTTGCTAATGTGTCACTAATTGCTGAACATTCCACCCTGCACAGACATGCAGAGCCCCCCAGAGTGATGTCACTGCAAAGAATCAACTGCTGCATTTGTTTATCCGTCGTCTCTCACTCAGATCAAGCGCTTCAACCGTTTTATTGTGATTCGTGTTTCCGGCTCAGCGAAAAATGTGGACGCTAAACCGGAAAACTGTCGTTGCTTTAGCATCGGCCGAGTCGAGAAATGAAGGAGTAGAGTATCAGGGTTCAGTAAATAGAATCATTTGGTGTAATTCAGTATTAGTGAAGTGAAAGTGTTGGTGTCTTATGATAGTCGATATTTTTGTCCTTTAGCTAAAAGAAAATGGTCTAAAAACATCAGCGACACAGACGCGGCGACACAGACGCGGCGACACAGACGCGGCGACACAGACGCGGCGACACAGACGCGGCGACACAGACGCGGCGACACAGACGCGGCGACACAGACGCGGCGACACAGACGCAGTGACAGTCCAGTACTACTGGAGCTGTAATAGTTTTTTCACCTCCAAGTTTAACAGAGTCAAAATAAACAATTATTTGACCCAGTGGGAAACGAGCTGATCTCCAAACTCTGTTTCAGGCCACGTTCAAAGGCTGGATGGACATCATGTACGCCGCAGTGGACTCCAGAGAGGTCAGACTCCTCCTCTGACGCCTCCTCCCTCCTCCCTCTCCCCAGACTCCTCCCTCTCCCCAGACTCCTCCTCCCTCTCCCCAGACTCCTCCTCTCCCTCCTCCTCCTCCCCCAGACTCCTCCTCCCTCCTCCCCAACTCCTCCTCCCTCTCCTCCCTCCTCCCCAGACTCCTCCCTCCCTCCTCCTCCAAACTCCTCCTCCCTCCTCCCTCCCCCAAACTCCTCCTCCCTCCCCCTCCTCCCCCAAACTCCTCCTCCCGACTCCTCCCTCTCCCCAGAACTCCTCCCCCAAACTCCTCCCTCCCCCAGACTCCTCCTCCCTCTCCCCAGAAAACTCCTCCCTCTCCCCAAACTCCTCCTCCCAAACTCCCTCCTCCTCTCCTCCCTCTCCCCCAGACTCCTCCCTCTCCCAGACTCCCCAAACTCCTCCTCCCTCCTCCCCAAACTCCTCCTCCCTCTCCCCAAACTCCTCCTCCCTCCTCCCCCTCCTCCCAGACTCCTCCTCCCTCTCCCCAGACACTCCTCCCTCCCCTCCTCCTCCCTCTCCCCAGAACTCCTCCTCCCTCTCCCCAGACTCCTCCTCCCTCTCCCCAGACACACTCCTCCCTCTCCCCAGAACTCCTCCCTCCCTCCTCCCTCCCCTCAGACACCTCAAACTCCTCCTCCCTCCTCCTCCTCCCAAACTCCTCCCCTCCCTCCCCTCAAACTCCTCCTCCCCCAAACTCCTCCCTCTCAAACTCCTCCCCCTCCTCCCCAAAACTCCTCCTCCCTCCTCCTCCCAAACTCCTCCTCCCTCCTCCTCCCTCCCCCAGACTCCTCCTCCCCAGAACTCCTCCCTCCCTCTCCTCCCTCCAGACTCCTCCTCCCTCCCCTCCTCCCTCCAGACTCCTCCTCTCCCTCCCCTCCTCCCTCTCCCCAAACTCCTCCTCCCTCCTCCCCAAACTCCTCCTCCTTTGCTCTACACGTTTGTTCTTGTTTTGTCTTTTTTCCAGGTGGAGTCCCAGCCTGAGTATGAGGCCAGTCTTTACATGTATCTTTACTTTGTCATCTTCATCATCTTCGGCTCCTTCTTCACGTTAAACCTGTTCATCGGAGTCATCATCGACAACTTCAACCAACAGAAGGCAAAGATAAGTGTCCCACACAGAAGCCACAGATCGTTGGAAGGGTCTGAGGAGAAGAATGAGACAAAAAATAAAAAATGACTGTATAAATGAATGAATTTAGTGACCAGGACGAGACCAGACCCTCCCCCCTGCACTTCAGCAGATCAGTAGATTACTTAGAATAGAATAGGTCCCTAGATTATCCAAACATGCACGGATGACATCTAAAACCTCTTCAGTCTGTTTGATGATATAATATGGTAGAAAGGTCAAAAATCCCCAGAGACACTCAATGAAAATCTGTGAAATTTGAAACAATCTTGTCTTTTCCTGAACTTAGGAGGCACTGACATCTTCATGACTGAGGAGCAGAAGAAATACTACAACGCCATGAAGAAACTAGGCTCAAAGAAACCTCAAAAACCAGTGCCTAGACCTGAGGTGAGACCAATCCTGTCTCCTCCCAGGAGGCTGTGGGTTAGATTTCTGAACTCTTTGATTGGTGCATGCATGTGCTCTGTATTAGACTCCTCATCTGTTGGTTCTTTCGGTTCTGTGTGGTTCAGAACTGGTTCCAGGGCCTGGTGTTTGACTTGGTGACGCAGCAGGTGTTTGACGTGATCATCATGATTCTGATCTGCCTGAACATGGTGACGATGATGGTGGAGACGGACGAGCAGAGCGCAGAGAAAGAGGAGATCTTGTACTGGATCAACCTGGTCTTCATTGTCCTTTTCACTGGAGAATGTTCTCTGAAGATCATCGCTCTGAGGCACCACTACTTCTCTGTGGGCTGGAACATCTTTGATTTTGTGGTGGTAATTCTCTCCATCGTAGGTGAGTCAGGAAGTCATAAATGCATTGACGTAAACTATAGAATAAAGTATTATTTGATATAGAGATGATGAATTTATTTGGGAATACTGACAAAAATAAGAATGATGAAAGTTTCTCACAGTCGGTTCCCCACACTGTAAATGTGTTAAATCAACCCTATTGTGCTTCTGTGTCTCTGTTCTAAACTCTGATCCCAGTGGATTATTGAATTATAATTTGGACATTTTAAATCAAAATATTTGTCTAAAACAAGTTGCTGCTGTCCCTTCTATTGACAGTTGCACATCACAGAATGACTCCACGACACTGCCCAATCCTACGTGTATCACTGATTAAGAAAATCAAAGAAGAGAAAAAGAGAACGAAGTGTGTATGTCACAGTGGTCATGTACCGGTGGAGCTGAAAAACAGTGGTAGACTGAAAAAATGACGTCTTGAAATGAAGTGATTAAAGATAAGTCAAGCATTCATGAATCACTTCAGATACAACTTCAGAGGGTCAGTGAGGAGAAACGACTGTAACACGGAGAAAGATCTGAACAGTTTGCAGAATTGGTCTGATTTAAATTACATTCTTAATTTGAACCACAGAGATTGGTGCAAACACTTCGTCTTATTAAAGTATAAAGATGGTATAATGAGTGGATTTTGTGTAGATATGGTTCATGGCTGATTTAGATGTTTCCTTTTGTTTCCAGGGCTGTTATTGGCCGACATAATAGAGAAGTATTTTGTGTCCCCGACGCTGTTCCGAGTGATCCGATTGGCTCGTATTGGACGAATTCTACGCCTGATCCGCGGCGCCAAAGGAATCCGCACTCTGCTCTTTGCCCTGATGATGTCACTTCCAGCGCTCTTCAACATCGGGCTCCTCCTCTTCCTCATCATGTTCATCTTCTCCATCTTTGGCATGAGCAACTTCGCCTACGTCAAGAAGGTGAGAAGCATCTGATGTTTTATGACAGTAGATAAAGATTAAAACACAAACTGGGCTTCAGCCCTTAAGCCCTGATGAAGACCAGTTTGGTCGAAACATGTCGGCTTTGGCCATTTAAATTAAGGCCTTTTAACTGTATTTTTCCTCGTGCGATTTTTACTTCTTTGAAGCGCCTTTAGTTTTGATCCTTTTTCCAAGAGCATCTCTACCTACTCACACTGATTGGACCACCTGCTGCAAACAGACACATTTTTGTTTTTTCTGTAGTAGATAAAGATTATTCTAACATTTGTGAACCTAAAAACAGAGACAAAAATAGATCCAACTCCACATTATTCTAAATTACTGTTCTGCAACCATCACTATGACGTCATCATCGTAGCAACAGGTAAATAAATGCTCAAAAGCTGTGAGAAGAATGCAGGGACGAGCTTCATTTAAAACACAGAAATAAATGATATCTGAGACATTTACAGACAGGGAGCAGAGTCATTCTCTGCTGTAAATGCTGAGAATTAAAAATTCCACCACACCAGGTCTAAACTAGGACTAACTTTTAGTCTAAAAGAGCTGGAACCAAGATATAAAAGGCTTGAACAATGTTTTAAAAACATTAACCCACTAACCCATAAACCTGAGTTAAACTAATCCTAACCTGTAAACATTAGTTAAACTGGAGATGAGGCTCAAATCCAGAAGTGTTTAACCCATCTTGTGCCCCTGTGTTTGGTTCCGTGTGTTTGGTTCCGTGTGTTTGGTTCCGTGTGTTTGGTTCCGTGTGTTTGGTTCCGTGTGTTTGGTTCCGTGTGTTTGGTTCCATGTGTTTGGTTCCGTGTGTTTGGTTCCGTGTGTTTGGTTCCGTGTGTTTGGTTCCGTGTGTTTGGTTCCGTGTGTTTGGTTCCGTGTGTCTGGTTCCGTGTGTCTTCCATGTGTTCCGTGTGTTTGGTTCCCTGTGTTTGGTTCCGTGTGTTTGGTTCCATGTGTTTGGTTCCGTGTGTTTGGTTCCATGCGTTTGGTTCCGTGTGTTTGGTTCCGTGTGTTGGTTCCGTGTGGTTTGTGTTTGGTTCCATGTGTTTGGTTCCATGTGTTTGGTTCCGTGTGTCTGGTTCTGTGTGTTTGGTTCCGTGTGTTTGGTTCCGTGTGTTTGGTTCCATGCGTTTGGTTCCGTGTGTTTGGTTCCGTGTGTTTGGTTCCGTGTGTTTGGTTCCGTGTGTTTGGTTCCGTGTGTTTGGTTCCGTGTGTTTTCCGTGTGTTTGTGTTTCCGTGTGTTTGGTTCCGTGTGTTTGGTTCCGTGTGTTTGGTTCCGTGTGTTTGGTTCCGTGTGTCTGGTTCCGTGTGTCTGGTTCTGTGTGTTTGGTTCCATGTGTTTGGTTCCGTGTGTTTGGTTCCGTGTGTTTGGTTCCGTTGTTTTGGTTCCATGCGTTTGTTCCGTGTGGTTCCGTGTGTGGTTCTGTGTGTTTTGGTTCATGTGTTTGGTTCCATGCGTTTGGTTCCGTGTGTTTCTGGTTCTGGTTCTGTGTGTTTGGTTTCATGTGTTTGGTTCCATGCGTTTGGTTCCGTGTGTCTGGTTCTGTGTGTTTGGTTCCATGCGTTTGGTTCCGTGTGTTTGGTTCCGTGTGTTTGGTTCCATGCGTTTGGTTCCATGTGTTTGGTTCCGTGTGTTTGGTTCCATGCGTTTGGTTCCATGCGTTTGGTTCCATGTGTTTGGTTCCGTGTGTTTGGTTCCGTTTGTTCCGTGTGTTCCGTGTGTTGGTTCCGTGTGTTTGGTTCCGTGTGTTTGTTCCGTGTGTTTGGTTCCGTGTGTCTGGTTCCGTGTGTTTGGTTCCTGTGTTTTGTTCCGTGGTTGGTTCCGTGTTTGTTCCGTTGTTGGTTCCATGCGTTTGGTTCCGTGTGTTTGGTTCCATGTTCTGTGTTCCGTGTGTTTGGTT